AGAGTTTCGCTCTTGTTACCCAGGCTGGAGTGCAATGGCGCGATCTCGGCTCACCACAACCTCCGCCTCCTGGGTTCAGGCGATTCTCCTGCCTCAGCTTCCTGAGTAGCTGGGATTACAGGCACGCGCCACCATGCCCAGCTAATGTTTTGTATTTTTAGTAGAGACAGGGTTTCACCGTGTTGACCAGGATGGTCTCGATCTCTTGACGTCGTGATCCACCCGCCTCGGCCTCCCAAAGTGCTGGGGTTACAGGCGTGAGCCACCGCGCCTGGCCTTCAGGCTGTTTATAGTTAGGCTCAGAGTTCCTCCCTCCAGTCTTCTCTACACCAGGCTGACTGATCTAAATTGATGCTGCTTCCGCACATTTTGTTCTTCCACGTCCCTTTATTTTTTTCTATTTTTATTTTTTTCAAACAGGGTCTCACTGTTGCCCAGGTTGGGGTACAGTGGTGTGATCTTAGCTCACTGCAGCCTTGAACGCTGGGGCTCAGGCTACCTTCCTACCTATGCCTCTCCAGCAGCTAGGACTATAGGTGCACATCACCACACCCAGCTCATTTTTATTTTATTCTTTTGTTTGCAGAGATGTGTCCTGTTATGTTGACCAGGCTGGTCTCAAACTCCTGACCTCAAGTGATCAGCCTACGTTGGCCTCTCAAAGCCCTGGGTTTCAGCATAAGCCACCCGGCCTCTGGACTACTTCTCACCTGAATGCTCTCCCTTCTTCCCTCCTCCCCATGCATTCATCTTTTTTATTTATTTATTTATTTTTGTGATGGAGTCTCGCTCTTTCACCAGGCTGGAGTGCAGTGTTAAGATCTCAGCTCACTGCAACCTCCGCCTCTCAGGTTCAAGTATTCTCCTGCCTCAGCCTCCTGAGTAGCTGTGATTACTGGCGTGCACTACCACGCCCAGCTAATTTTTGTATTTTTTTTTAATGATGATGCAAAGGCAAATTTTTGTATTTTTAGTAGAGATAAGGTTTCACCATGTTGGCCAGGATGGCCTCCGACTCCTGACCTCGTGATCCACACACCTCGGCTTCCCAAAGTGCTGGGTTTACAGGTGTGAGCACCACGCCCAGCCTCATTCATCTTTTAAGAGCCAGTTGTGTGCAGCCTCACCTAGGAAGCTGCTACTGATTCCTCCAATCCACAGTGATGCCCCTCCCTATGTTCTCTGAACTCTCACTATTCCATTATTAGGTTCCAGTTTATAAACTAGTTTATACTGCTATTTAAATTTTCATATGTGTAAGTCTTGTCTCTCCAACGGAATTGCAAACACCTAGAACACAGGGGCTCTGTTCTCCTCTAAAAGGAAATCACAGTTTCATGCAAAGAGATGTAACTCACTAAATTCTTTGCACTTTTGACTTAATGGCATCTACCTGAGTCCATGGTATTTCCACTATAAGAAACTAGGAAAGCTGCTGGGTGCAATGGCTCATGCCTGTAATCTCAGCATTTCGGGAGGCCAAGGCGGGCACATCACTTGAGCCCAGAAATTCAAGATCAGCCTGGCCAACATGGCAAGACCCCCGTCTCTACTGAAAATACAAAAAAATTAGCCAGGCATGGTGGCAGGCCCCTGTAGTCCCAGTTACTTGGGAGGCTGAGGCAGGAGAATCGCTTGAATCCAAAAGGCAGAGGTTGCAGTGAGCCATGGTCATGCCACTGCACTCCAGCCTGGGTGACAGAGCAGGACTCTGTTTTTTTAAAAAATAAAAATAAAAAAGAAAAAGAAAAGTAGGTAAACTGGACTAGTGCAGCGGTGTACACCTGTTCTCCCAGCTACTCAGGAGGCTGAAGCAGGAGGATTGCCTGAGCCCAGGAATTCAAGTACAGCCTGGAACATATAGCAAGACCCCCATCTCTTAAAAAAAGGAAAAAAAGTAGATCAGCTCAGAAGACCATAAAGACCATCTCTTTATGCTTCAGCTGAACTCGAACAGAGCCAAAAACCTGGATCCCATCAATTCACTGTGGCTAATCCAAACTTACCTCCAAGGGAAGCTTCCCAACTGAGATCTAAACACACAAATTCTACCTTCACGAGGTGATTCGTGACCTCCAGCTATCCAGGCTAGCCTTCCCTCAACTCCACATCCAGCTGGTTTGCCATGTTCTACAAACAGATTATTGGAACTGTATATAGAGGACAAATTATTAGCACTAGGCAAATTTCCTCTGACACCAACCTGCCGTGACATGCGTTAATGAAAGCCAGCTCTTGGTCGTTCTAGAAAAGAAAGCACTTTTACACTATTTTTATACAAACAAAATTTTTGGCATAATCTCTCATGGAGCGCTATAGATGTGGAAAGAGTTGTAACACAAAGGGATTCCATTGAGAAAGGTGTTTAATGAGGATAACCTGTCTTGGTTGACACAAGGCCACTTTCTGCTTAAAAACTGTTTTAGTGCAGTTGTGAGAAACCCCCTCTTCTTTCTGAAATCCATCCCTTAGAAGAAAAGAAAATATGGTTGGTGATCATTAGCCAGTTTTATTTTATTTACTAAGATAAGATTTATAGCTTTCAAGTAAAACTAAACTCCTGTGTACTACCCACAATTACCTTGTGAGACAGAATAAGGATGCCAAGATTTGCTGTAAAACCTGGACTCTTTCTTTTTTCTTTTTTTTTTCCTGTCAACATAGTATTAGAAGTCCTGGATGAACTCTTTCAAGACTGTGAAAATTCCTGGACTCCACTGGTTCTAATGACCTCAAAGAAATGTCTAAGTTACAGTTGATTATAGAATATAACAGTTGCATAACAGAACGTAGTGTTTGAAAAATAAATTATCATAATAGAAACAATAGAAAAAGGAAGATTGGGACATATGTTCTCAGGATCTCCTGAGGGGTGTGTCATGGACCATTGGTCACTCACATCTGGCTTGGAATAACTCTCTTCAAATATTTTACAGAGTTTGACTCTTTTTCGACTCTTCTTTTCTTTTCTTTTTTTGAGACGGAGTCTTGCTCTTGTCGCCCAGGCTGGAGTGCAATGGCGAAATCTCAGCTCACTGCAACCTCCATTCCCTGGATTCAAGCGATTCTCCTGCCTCAGCCTCCCGAGTAGCTGGGACTACAGGTGCTCACCACCATGCCCGGCTAATTTTTTTATCTTCAGTAGAGACGGAGTTTCACCATGTTGGCCAGGCTGGTCTCAATCTCCTGACCTTGTGACCTGCCCACCTTGGCCTCCCAAAGTGCTGGGACTACAGGCGTGAGCCACCACGCCCAGCCTAGAGTTTGACTCTTTTCATTGACAACTTTAATAATTGTTAGTATAGATAATTTTTAAGTTATTAATAAAATTTAAAAAATCTTCAAAACCTAATTTAGACATTTAGTCACTTTATTAGTCAAATATGTCAAATACTATCCTACTAAATATTTTAAGGTAATAACTATGACTTCTGTAATATTTCTAATAATTGTTTGGCTTTTTTATAAACATATTTAGAGCCATTAGATTTTAGGCTCTAAAACAGGGTGTCCAATCTTTTGGCTCTCCTGAGCCACATTGGAAGAAGTATTGTCTTGGGCCACACATAAAATACACTAACACAAAGGATAGGAGATGAGCTAAAAAAATAAAATAAATAAAAAATCACTCATCATTGCCGTTTGTAATCCCAGCACTTTGGGAGGCTGAGGCGGGTGGATCATTTGATGTCAGCAGTTTGAGACCAGCCTGACCAACATGGTGAAACCCTGTCTCTACTAAAAATACAAAAAAATTAGCTGGGTGCGGTGGCAACATGCCTGTAGTCCCAGCTATTAGGGAGGCTGAGGCAGGAGAATTTTTTGAACCCGGGAGACAGAGGTTGCAGTGAGCTGAAACTGAGCCACTGCACTCCAATCTGGGAGACAGAGCAAGACTCCATCTCAAAAAAAATTGCAAAGAAATCTCATAAAATTTTAAGAAAGTTTGTGAATTTATGTTGGGTCTCACTGAAAGCTGTCCTGGGCTGAATGTGACACATGCTCTAAACACATGGACGTGATAAGGTCTGGGAACATAGAAGATCTTACCTGGCCCAGCTGTGCCTCCTGGCTGTACTAAAAAAAGTCAGATGTTATCTCTACAGCTTTATCCTTTATCCTGGGTTCCACATCTAACAGATAGCCAAAATTACTTTCTTCCCAGGGTTTTCGCTAAAAATGAGGATTACTGGGCAGACATGGTGGCCCATGCCTGTAATCCCAGCACTTTGGGAGGCCGAGGTGGGCAGATCACTTGAGGTCAAGACTTCGAGAACAGCCTGGTCAACATGGCAAAACCCTCTCTACTAAAAATACAAAAATTAGCTAAGCATGGTTGGCACGTGCCTGTAATCCCAGCTACTGGGGAGGCTGAGGCACAAGAATTGCTTTGAGCCTAGGAATCTGAGTGATTGCAGTGAGCCAGGATTGTACCAGTGCACTCCAGCCTGGACGTAGGGTCTGTCTCAAAAAAAAAAAAAAACATTAAGAGCTAATACTATAACTTATATATACTTAAAGCTACTGGAGAGTAAAAATATTTTATGTACAAAATCTATTTTTAATGCTTTAATAATAAATTATAAAACATTTATAAAAATCTTATGGTCGGCTGGACACAGTGGCTCATGCCTGTAATCCCGCCACTTTGGGAGGCCAAGGTAGGTGGATCACCTGAGGTTAGCAGTTTGAGACCAGCCTGGCCAACATGGAGAAACCCTATCTACTAAAAACACAAAAAGTAGCTGGGCATGGTGGTATGCATGTTAGTCCCAGCTACTAGGGAGGCTGAGGCAGGAGGATCACTTGAACCTGGGAGGCAGAGGTTGCAGCAAGCCGAGATCGAGCCACTGCACTCCAGCCTGGGCAACAGAGTGAGACCCTGTCTCAAAATAAATAAATAAATAAAGGTTTTTGCTTTTTAAAAAAAGAAAAATGGCAATTATCTTTAAATAGGATAACTAGATAATTCAGTGGATATGAGAAAAGACAATGATTTATCTTATTACAAAAAATCAGACACCAAATAGGATACTTTAAATAGTTTTAAACTCTTAAAAATTAGCAGAAAACCAAGCTAGGCATGGTGGGTCACACCTGTAATCCCAGCACTTTGAGAGGCTGAGGCAGGCAGATCACATGAGGTCAGGAATTTGAGACCAGTCTGACCAACATAGTGAAACCCCATCTCTACTAAAAACACAAAGTTAGCTGAATGTGGTGGCGGGCACCTGCAATCCCAGTTTCTCGGGAGGCTGAGGCAGGTTCAGAACTGCTTGAACCCGAGAGGCAAAGTTGGTAGTGAGCCAAGGTCATGCCACTGCACACCATCCTGGGCAACAAAACAAGACTCTGCCTAAAAAAAGAAAAAAAATAGTGGAAAACCAAACACATATTAGGAAATGATAATACTTTCCTCAGATCTGATGAAAGAGAAGAAAATATAAATGACAGAAAATGAGATCAAATAAAATATTTAAATTTCTGGATAATAAAACATTCAAGATTAGAGGAAAATCAGTATAAATCTCAAAAATGGATTTCTATCAATATCTCATCTTAATGTTTAAGATAACAAATGACCACTTTGGGAGGCTGAGGCAGGTGGATCACCGGAGGTCAGGAGTTTGAGACCAGCCTGGCCAACATGGTGAAACTCTGTCTCTACTAAAAATACAAAAAAATTATCCAGGTATAGTGGAGGGTGGCTGGCTTTCAGACTGTCAAAAAAAAACAAAACAGATGTGGTGGCTCAAGCCTGTAATCTCAGCACTTTAGGAGGCCAGGGAGGGAGGATCATTTGAGCTCAGGAGTTAGAGACCAGCCTGGGCAACATGGCAAAACCTCATCTCTACAGAAAATACAAAAATTAGCTGGGTGTGGTGGCATGAGCCTGTAGTCCCAGCTACTCGGAAGGCTCACATGGAAGGATGGCTTGAGCCTGGGAGGCAGAGGTTGCCGTGAACTGAGATGGCACCATTGCACTCAAGCCTGAGCAACAAAAGACAGACCCTGTCTCAAAATAAAATAAAATGAAATTTTTAAGAAAGATTAATCAATAAAAGTTGGCTATTCAGGAGGCTGAGGCAGGAGCCTCACTTGAGTGCAAGAGTTTAAGGCTGTAGTGTGTTATGATTTTGCTTATAAATAGCCACTGCGAGCTAGTCTGGGCAACATAGCAAGACCTTGTCTTTCTTGTTGAGAAAAAGTCTTACTCTGTCACCCAGGCTGGAATGCAGTGGTGACTGAATCTCAGCTCACTGCAAACTCCCCCTCCTGGGCTCAGGCGATTCTTGTGCCACCACACCTGGTTAATTTTTGTATTTTTAGTGGAGATGGGGTTTCACCATGTTGGCCAGGCTGGTCTCGAACTCCTGACTTCAGGTGATCCACCTGCTTTGGACTCCCAAATTGCTGGGATTACAGGCATGAACCACCACACCTCGCCAAATTTGAAACTTTTTGAGGACCAGTGTGATGCTACAAGTGGAAAAGTCTACAACTGACCTCGTGTGATGAGATTGTAGTGAAAACACTGACCAAATTTTGTTTAATGAACAAGATTATTTAAAATATTGTATAAGCTGGGCACGGTGGCTCACGCCTGTAATCCTAGCACTTTGGGAGGCTGAGGTGGGTGGATCACCTAAGGCCAGGAGTTCAAGACCAGACTGGCCATCATGGTGAAACCCATCTTTAAATAAATAAATAAATAAATAAATAAAATATTGTATAAAATTACTTTCAGGCTATGTGTATAAGGTGTATACGAAACGTAACTACACTTTGTGTTTAGACTTTGATCTTGGCCCCAAGATATCTAATTATGTATATGCAAATATTCCTAAACATTTTTTAAAATCAAAAATCTGAAACACTTCTGATCCCAAGCATTTCAGATAAGGAATACTCAACCTGAGGCTGGGTGCAGTGGCTCAAGCCTGTAATCCCAGCACTTTGGGAGGCTGAGGTGGGTAGACCACGAGGTCAGGAGTTCATGACCAGCCTGGCCAAGATAGTGAAACCCTGTCTCTTAAAAAAAAAAAAAAAAAAAAAGAATACTCAACCTGTATTGAGTATCTTACACATGAGAAAACTGAAGCTCAGAGATGCTAAGCAGTTTGCCTGAGACCACACAGCTAGTAGTCACAGAGTCTGGTTCTAGGGCCGGAGCTTCACATTCTAAAAAGCACATTTGAGAGAGAATGGCAGACAGAGGAAGCTGAAAGCAAAGATAAAGTTTGACTTACCCTGAATTTCCTCAGAATTTTGTTTAGGACAAAATTTTTAGCTGTGATACATTCCCTCAGGGTTAGCCCTAAAATAGGTAAAGCCATGTGATGAGAGGAAGTCAGTTCTTTCCAGAATGTGGTATGGGTTTCTTGTTAGTTTGTTTTTGTTTTTTGAGACAGGGTTTCACTTTGTCGCCCAGGCTGGACTACAATGGTGTGATCACGGCTCACTGCAGCCTCAACCTCCTGAGCTCAAGCAATCCTGCCGCCTCAGCCTTCTGAGTAGCTGGGACCACAGGCATGTACCACCATGCCCAGCTCATTTTTGTATTTTCTATAAAGATGGGGTTTTACCATGTTGCCCAGGCTGGTGTTGAACTCCTGAGCTCAAGGGATCTGCCTGCCTCAGCTTCCCAAAGTGTTGGCATTACAGGCCTAAGCCACCTTATCCAGACTTGCATTTTTTTAAATTAGTAACAACGTTTTTCCGGGTGGTATGGATTCAATCTCTCTCTCTCTCTCTCTCTCTCTCT